TCTCTCAAACTCTCTCCCTCTCTCTCTCTCTCTCCCACTCTTTCTCTCTCTCTCTCTATCTCTCTCTCTCTCTCTTATCTCTCTCTTTCTCTCCCTCCCTCTCTCTTTATCTCCTCTTTTCTCTCCCTCCCTCCCTCTCTCTCTCTCTCTCTCCTCTCTCTCTCTCTCTCTCTCTCTCTCTCTCTCTCTCTTCTCTCTCTCTCTCTTTTATCTCTCTCTCTCTCTCTCCCTCCCCTCTCTCTTATCTCTCTCTCGCCCCCCTCCCTCTCTCTCTCTCTCTCTCTCTCTCTCTCTTCTCTCTCTCTCTCTCTCTCTCTCTCTCTCTCTCTCTCTCTCTCTCTCTCTATATATATATATATATATAATATATATATATATATATATATCTATCTCTCTCTTTATCTCTCTCTCTCTCTCTCCCTCTCTCTCTATCTCTCTCTCCCTCTCTCCCTATCTCTCTCTCCCCACTCCCCTCTGCCCTTCTGACGAATCCTATCACGGCACAACTAGAAACAGCGTCAAGCATGACAGCCAGAAGCAACAGGGGAACACGGAAAAGTTCAGGCGACGAAATTAAGGAAATGTTCGCCCAGTTTCTGGAGGCCATCAAGAGTGAGATGCAGGAAATGATGCAGGAAATGAAGAATGAAATAAGCAACCTAAAAAGAGAGCTGACAGCAGCAAAGGAGGAGATTAGAGCCCTCAAAGAGAACAGTATCGATGCTGAGACTCAGAAAACCACCCAGGGAGACGGTGGTAATAGTACTTTGGAAGAGAATGCCACATTAAAAGCAACATTTGCAGAAATGCTAAAAAAAACAACTCTGAATTAATGTCTGCAGTGATGGAGGTATCCATGAAAGCAGCCACCTCACAGGAAGCGGCACGCTCCACTAGCCAGCTGCTGGAAAGGAAAAGAGCAGTGGTAGCTGTAGGTATTAAAGAGCAGGAAGGCTCTAATAGGAAAGAGTGGAATGATAAGGACAAAGCGGCAGTGAATGAAATACTGAAGGCACTAGACATGGAAGGGCCTGAGCATAGCATTGAGAAGGTTTTCAGGCTAGGCTGGTACAAAAAAACCGAGACCGTGTGTTAAAGATATTGTTTACAAACGAGAACACAAAGGACACGATTCTAACAAAGAAAAGCCACCTGCAACATGTGGGGAAATTAAAAAAAGTATTCCTCCAGAGGGACATGACAAGGGAGGAGAGGGACATGGCGGCAGAAGCAAGGAAGAAGCGCTGGGCGAGAGAGGAAAACCAGGAAACCACAGCTCCCAACACATCACCCCCAGAGGCGAGGGGGAAACCCACAACCAGCTACCCAGTAACACCAGTGGGGAGGGCAACCCCACCACCCTCCTCTGCATAGAAAAACCCCCCTTTCCTTTCTGTCCTCCCGCCCCGTTCACCCCATACCCTCCCTGTCCTTCCCCTTCACTTGACCCCCCACCCCTCATCCCAGTATCCTCTGCAACCCTTGTATCCACCTCACAAATCCTCACACCCATGGCACAGCTTCCTCCACCAGCAGAACATTCACCAAGGAGGAGATTTGAGAAGGGACAGAAGAAAGTGAGCCTCAAGGCAATGTACACTAACATAGACGGTATTACAAATAAAGCAAATGAACTTGAAGAATGGGTACTAGAGGAAAACCCAGACATAATAGCTCTCACAGAAACAATGCTGACGAAAACATTAACAAATGCAGTGTTCCCACAGGACTATTATGTTATGAGGAAAGAGAGAGAAGGAAGAGGTGGGGGGGGGTGTAGCTCTGCTGGTAAGAAAAGGCTGGGATTTCGAGGAGTTGGTTGTTCAGGGATGTGAAGGTTTCAGTGACTACATAATAGGAACAATAACAACTGGAGGGCAAAAAATTATAGTGATAGTCATATATAATCCGCCACCAAATGACAGAAGACCCAGACAGGAATATGATAGAAACAATATGGCCACCATTAACATAATGGAGAGAGCAGCTTCTGTTGCTAGCAGAAATGGATCTGGACTACTAATCATGGAAGACTTCAACCATGGGAAGATAGATTGGGAGAACAGAGACCCGCATGGAGGACCAGAAACATGGAGAGCTAAGCTGCTGGACGTGGCAACAAGAAACTTTCTAAGCCAGCACATCAAGGATCCAACAAGAATGAGAGGAGAGGATGAACCAGCAATGCTTGATCTGATATTTACCCTAAATGAGTAGGATATAGGGAAGTCAAGATGGAAGCGCCCTTGGGAATGAGTGATCACAGTGTATTGAACTTTGAGTACTGGTAGAGCTAGGAATTATCCCCCCCCAAAAAAGAACTAGGAAACAAAAGGCTGGCATACCGAAAGGGAAATTATGAAGAGATGAGAAGTTTCCTAAGGGAAATACCTAGGGACACAGACCTCAGAGCTATGTCTGTACAAGATATGATGGACTATGTCACCCAAAAGTATCAGGAGGCAGTAAGCAGATACATCCCGGCCCAAAAGGAAAAATCCGAGAAGCAAAAAGAAGAATCCATGGTATAACATGGCATGTATGGAAGCAAAGGAATGAACAAAAGGGCGTGGAGGAACTTCCGGAATAGCAGAACACCAGAAAGCAGAGAGAGATACCAGAGAACCAGGAATGAGTATGTCAGGGTGAGAAGAGAAGCAGAGAAAAGTTATGAAAATTATATAGCAAACAAAGCCAAGACCGAACCAAAGCTACTCCACAGTCACATCAGAAGGAAAACAACAGTGAAAGAACAGGTAGTGAAACTTAGAACAGGCGAGGATAGGTATACAGAGAATGACAAAGAGGTGTGTGATGAACTCAACAAGAGGTTCCAAGAGGTCTTCACAGCAGAACAAGGTGAGGTCACTGCGCTAGGAGAAAGGGAAGTAAACCAGGCAGCCTTGGAAGAGTTTGAAATTACGAGAGAGGAGGTCAAGAGACACCTGCTGGACCTGGATGTTAGAAAGGCTGTTGGTCCAGAAGGGATCTCGCCATGGGTACTGAAAGAGTGTGCAGAGGCACTTTGCTTGCCACTCTCCATAGTGTATAGTAGGTCACTGGAGACGGGAGACCTACCAGAAATATGGAAGACGGCGAATGTGGTCCCAATATACAAAAAGGGCGACAGGCAAGAGGCACTGAACTACAGGCCAGTGTCCTTAACTTGTATACCATGCAAGGTGATGGAGAAGATCGTGAGAAAAAACCTGGTAGCACATTTGGAGAGAAGGGACTTCGTGACAAATCGACAACATGGGTTTAGGGAGGGTAAATCTTGCCTGACTGTCTTAATAGAATTCTATGACCAGGTAACACAGATTAAGCAAGAAAGAGAGGGCTGGGCGGACTGCATTTTCTTGGATTGTCGGAAAGCCTTTGACACAGTACCGCATAAGAGGCTGGTACATAAGCTGGAGAGACAGACAGGTGTAGCTCGTAAGGTGCTCCAGTGGATAAGGGAGTACCTATGCAATAGGAAGCAGAGAGTTACGGTGAGGGGTGAGACCTCCGATTGGCGTGAAGTCACCAGTGGAGTCCCACAGGGCTCTGTACTCGGTCCTATCTTGTTTCTGATATATGTAAATGATCTCCCGGAGGGTATAGATTCATTTCTCTCAATGTTTGCGGACGATGCCAAAATTATGAGAAAGATTAAGACAGAAGAGGACTGTTTGAGGCTTCAAGAAAACCTAGACAAACTGCAGGAATGGTCGAACAAGTGGTTGTTAGAGTTTAACCCAACCAAATGTAATAATAAAGTTAGGTGCAGGGAGCAGGAGGTCAAATACAAGGTATTATCTGGGAGAGGAAATTCTTCAGGAGTCAGAGAAAGAAAAAGACTTGGGAGTTGATATCACGCCAGACCTGTCTCCTGCAGCTCATATCAAGAGGATAACATCAGCGGCATTTGCCAAGCTGGCCAACATAAGAACGGCATTTAGAAATTGTGTAAGGAATCATTCAGAACTTTGTATACCACATATGTCAGGCCAATCCTGGAGTATGCAGCCCCAGCATGGAATCCATATCTGATCAAGGATAAGACTAAACTGGAAAAAGTTCAAAGGTTTGCCACCAGGCTAGTACCCGAGCTGAGAGGTATGAGCTACGAGGAGAGACTACGGGAAATAAACCTCACTTCGCTGGAAGACAAGGGGGGACATGATCACCACATTCAAGATTCTCAAGGGAGCTGACAGGGTAGATAAAGACAGGCTATTTAACACAAGAGAGCACAAGCACTAGGGGCCACAGGATGAAACTGAGTGTCTAAATGAGCCACAGAGATATTAGAAAAAACTTTTTAGTGTCAGTGAGGTTGACAAATGAAATGCATTAGGAAGTGATGTGGTGGAGGCTAACTCCATACACAGTTTCAAGTGTAGATATGATAGTGCCCAATAGGCTCAGGAACATGTCTACCGGTTGATTAACGGTTGAGAGGCTGGACCAAAGAGCCAGACCTCAACCCCCGTAAGCACAAATAGGTGAGTACAAATCCAGCCCCTTGGACATCAAAGTCGTCACGGACAAGTTATTATCCCGGCCAGGTAAACACAGTTGTGAGACGGGACCAAAGAGCTGAATCTCAACCCTCCCGGCAAGCATGATTAGGTTAGTAGACAGGATCGTGCTGCGTGTGGCGGCGTTCGTCAGGGCCGCGGAACGACGAGGTGGAAAAACAAAGTAAGCGCGGACACGCACCTGTGGAGATGGACCCAATAATTTGTTCCTTTGTGTTGCTACTTGCTCCGCCCGACCCTTCCAGTCACCCTTTGCTCCTTCCCTCTCCCCACTCTCTCCCCTTCCATTCATATCCACTCCCCCTCCTCCTCTCACCCCTCGTCCATCTCCCCATTATTTCCTTTTCCCTACCCACCCCCATTTTTGTAACCAAATTCACATGTATACCGACAGAATTGTTTGTTTTGGTTACAATCATTAGTAAGAGAGTTTAGGATAAGGACTTTGTGATGTTTACATCGTAACAGCTGATCATGCGTGTGGACTTCGATCATCACAAGGTGACTGGTGCAGCTGCGAGACTGGCACTGTTAGCTCACCTGCAGCTGACTGCTACAGCTTCAAGACTGACACTGTTAGCTCACCTGCAACTGACTGGTACAGCTTCAAGACTGGCACTGTTAGCTCACCTGCAGCTGACTGTTACAGCTTCAAGACTGGCACTGTTAGCTCACCTGCAGCTGACTGGTACAGCTTCAAGACTGGCACTGTTAGCTCACCTGCAGCTGACTGGTGCAGCTTCAAGACTGGCACTGTTAGCTCACCAGCAGCTGACTGGTACAGCTTCAAGACTGGCACTGTTAGCTCACCAGCAGCTGACTGGTACAGCTTTAAGACTGGCACTGTTAGCTCACCAGCAGCTGACTGGTGCAGCTTCAAGACTGTCACTGTTAGCTCACCTGCAGCTGACTGGTACAGCTTCAAGACTGGCACAGTTAGCTCACCAGCAGCTGACTGGTGCAGCTTCAAGACTGGCACTGTTAGCTCACCTGCAGCTGACTGGTACAGCTTCAAGACTGGCACTGTTAGCTCACCTGCAGCTGACTGGTGCAGCTTCAAGACTGGCACTGTTAGCTCACCTGCAGCTGACTGGTACAGCTTCAAGACTGGCACTGTTAGCTCACCTGCAGCTGACTGGTACAGCTTCAAGACTGGCACTGTTAGCTCACCTGCAGCTGACTGGTGCAGCTTCAAGACTGGCACTGTTAGCTCACCTGCAGCTGACTGGTGCAGCTTCAAGACTGGCACAGTTAGCTCACCTGCAGCTGACTGGTACAGCTTCAAGACTGGCACAGTTAGCTCACCTGCAGCTGACTGGTACAGCTTTAAGACTGGCACTGTTATCTCACCAGCAGCTGACTGGTGCAGCTTCAAGACTGGCACTGTTAGCTCACCTGCAGCTGACTGGTACAGCTTCAAGACTGGCACAGTTAGCTCACCTGCAGCTGACTGGTGCAGCTTCAAGACTGGCACTGTTAGCTCACCTGCAGCTGACTGGTCCGGCTTCAAGACTGGCACTGTTAGCTCACCAGCAGCTGAATGGTGCAGCTTCAAGACTGGCACTGTTAGCTCACCTGCAGCTGACTGGTACAGCTTCAAGACTGGCACAGTTAGCTCACCTGCAGCTGACTGGTGCAGCTTCAAGACTGGCACTGTTAGCTCACCTGCAGCTGACTGGTACAGCTTCAAGACTGGCACTGTTAGCTCACCTCCAGCTGACTGGTGCAGCTTCAAAACTGGCACTGTTAGCTCACCTGCAACTGACTGGTGCAGCTTCAAGACTGGCACTGTTAGCTCTCCAGCAGCTGACTGGTACAGCTTCAAGACTGGCACAGTTAGCTCACCTGCAGCTGACTGGTACAGCTTTAAGACTGGCACTGTTAGCTCACCAGCAGCTGACTGGTACAGCTTCAAGACTGGCACAGTTAGCTCACCTGCAGCTGACTGGTGCAGCTTCAAGACTGGCACTGTTAGCTCACCTGCAGCTGACTGGTACAGCTTCAAGATTGGCACTGTTAGCTCACCTGCAGCTGACTGGTGCAGCTTCAAGACTGGCACTGTTAGCTCACCTGCAGCTGACTAGTACAGCTTCAAGACTGGCACTGTTAGCTCACCTGCAGCTGACTGGTACAGCTTCAAGACTGGCACTGTTAGCTCACCTGCAGCTGACTGGTGCAGCTTCAAGACTGGCACTGTTAGCTCACCTGCAGCTGACTGGTGCAGCTTCAAGACTGGCACTGTTATCTCACCAGCAGCTGACTGGTATAGCTTCAAGACTGGCACAGTTAGCTCACCTGCAGCTGACTGGTGCAGCTTTAAGACTGGCACTGTTAGCTCACCAGCAGCTGACTGGTGCAGCTTCAAGACTGGCACTGTTAGCTCACCTGCAGCTGCCAGGTACAGCTTCAAGACTGGCACTGTTAGCTCACCTGCAGCTGACTGGTGCAGCTTCAAGACTGGCACTGTTAGCTCACCTGCAGCTGACTGGTACAGCTTCAAGACTGGCACTGTTAGCTCACCTGCAGCTGACTGGTGCAGCTTCAAGACTGGCACTGTTAGCTCACTTGCAGCTGACTGGTACAGCTTCAAGACTGGCACTGTTAGCTCAGCTGCAGCTGACTGGTGCAGCTTCAAGACTGGCACTGTTAGGTCACCTGCAGCTGACTGGTACAGCTTCAAGACTGGCACTGTCAGCTCAGCTGCAGCTGACTGGTTGAGACATCCATAACTACAGTAATCTCGCTGAAGTTGTCTGGGCGGAGACTACATGACTGTCAGTATTACCTCACCTTGAACAGCTTTTATAATCTCACTCAGCTTAGAGAAATCATTTGAAAAAGTTTGACTTTCTCAGATGTTGCAAGAACAACTTGTCGTTGAAGGTGTGACTCTGTAAAGGTGAGGGTCAGGGATATAACTGGCATTTCCTCTTTACATCGGCAGAGTAAAGTGCTTAAAAAAAAAAAAAAATAAAATAAACAAGTGGCTTAAAGTTTGTTGGTTTCTTCAACTTTATCAGCTAACGCCTTCAAGCAATTGAGTATCTTTTTCTAAAGAGATCTGTTAACGTATTGAAATGAAGCAGCAACAAAGTGCAAGGCTCTTGTGTTCTTTTATGCTCTTTAGAATGTGTTTCTAAAGGAAGCAGCACACTCTCAACACCTCTATAGAGAGGAGGTCTGCCAGTGTGAGAACAATCGTGTCGTTCAACACTCTGTGTCTGCCATATTTCCAGGTAGCAGGGCAACTGCATTTGGCCGCTATTGGGTCGGGTCTGCATGGCTGGGATTCCCTTTGTGCTGAGCTGCGGGTTGGAATGAGACTTCTCTATACGATGTCATTGACTTCTTCATGCGTTGTGTTCTTTACCTCTTATCAACAGCACATGGGCCCCCCTTGAGGCCTTATTAGTGTGTTAGTATATTGTCGCACCTGCTTCTGTGTGTACAGTGGCGTCCGCCAGTGTGTGTGTGTGTATTTATTTACTATTTATGCCTGTAGAATCGAGCTATTAGCTCTTGGACTCCGCCTTTCTAACCGCAATATATGTTTCCCTCTATTAAGATTACTACATATTTATCTCTCTAATATATACCCATACTTCCCTATGAGAGCAGCCAGTAGCAGCTGCCTAACTCTCAGGCACCTATTACTGCAAGATGAACAGCTGCATCAGGTCAAAGAAACTATGCTCATTTGATTCCGCCTCGGCCGGGAAACGAACCCAGGCTCCTAGGACTGCTACCCCTGACCACTGTCCTCTCAGCCACGAGGCCCTATAAGTCATGTAGGCCCTGTAGTTGTACTCACATAGTTGTGCTTGCGGGAGTTGAGCTCTGGCTCTTTGGTCCCGCCTCTCTACAGTCAGTCAACTGGTGTACAGATTCCTGAGCCTACTAGGCTCCATCATATCTACATTTGAAACTGTATATGGAGTCAGCCTCCACCACATCACTTCCTAATGCATTCCATTTACTAACTATTCTGACCCTGAATAAGTTCTTTCTAGTTTCTCTGTGGCCCATTTGGGTACTCCGCTTCCACCTGTGTCCCTTTGTACGTGTACAACCCGTGGAAAATAATCCATCCTTGTCTACCCTATCAATTCCCTCTGAAGATTTTGAATGTGGTGATCATGTCACCTCGAGCTCTCCTGTCTTCCAGCGACGTGAAGTGCAGTTCACGCACACTTTACTCATAACTTATGCCTCTTAGTTCTGGGACTATCCTAGTGACATACCTCTGAAAGTTTTGTTCAGTTCGGTGTGTGTGTGTACTCACCTAGTTGTACTCACCTAGATGTTCTAACGGAGGTTGAACTCAGGCTCTTTGGTCCCACCGCTCAACCGTCAATCAACTGATGTACAGATTCCTGAGTCTACTGGGCTCTATCATATCTACATATGAAACTGTGTATGGAGTCAGCCTCCACCACATGACTGCCTAATGCATTCCACCTGTTAACTACTCTGACAGTGAAAAAAAGTTCTTTCTAACGTCCCTGTGACTCATTTGGGTACTCAGTCGCCACCTGTGTCCCCTTGTTCGCGTACCACCCGTGTTAAAAAGTTTATCCTTATCTACCCTGTCAATTCCTCCGAGAATTTTGTAGGTAGTGATCATGTCTCCCCTTTACTCTTCTGTCTTCCAGTGTCGTGAGGTGTATCTCCCGCAGCCTTTCTTCGTAACTCATGCCTCCTAGTTCTGGGACTAGCCTAGTGGCATACCTCTGAACTTTTTCTAGCTTCGCCTTGTATTGTATGTGTGTTTGTGTGTATGTGTGCGTGCGTGTGTGTGTACTTACCTAGTTGTACTCACCTAGTTGTGTTTGCGGGAGTTGAGCTCTGGCTCTTTGGTCCCGCCTCTCAACCGTCAATCAACAGGTGTACAGATTCCTGAGCCTATTGGGCTCTATCATATCTACACTTGAAACTGTATGGAGTCAGCCTCCACCACATCACTTCTAAATGCATTCCATTTGTCAACCACTATGACACTAAAAAAGTTCATTCTAATATCTTTGTGGTTCATTTGGGCACGCAGTTTCCACCTGTGTCCCTGTTACGGCCCTCTCGGGACGCAACGGGGTCCTAACTCTGATGTTGTTAGAGGAAGATATATATATCCGTTCCCAAGCCAGTAGTGGCTATCAAGGGATGAGATCCGTGACGCAAGTAACTTAAAGGGAGTAGGGAAAGAAAGCTAAGAACTTAATATTATAATTATTACCATCACCGATTAAATATATAAAATAAATGAGTGCACAAGGGGGAGGGGTATTAACACTGGACAAGGGGATTATTCACAATATGGTCTTCTGCTGAAGACTCTGGATCCAGAAGCTAGGTGCTGAGTCCTCGGTGCTTTCTTCGTGGCCACACAACGAATTCTCCAAAGAAGTTGAGCCTACCCTGGCCACAGGTCAGCCAAAACACAGGTCCACTGGGGGCACCGCCGTGGAGGCCGTCAACCACACGTCCAGCTGGTCTGCTGGCAGGTTCTGAGCCAACAAGGCTGGTACGGCCACTCCACGAACGATAAAAGGGGAACGCCCTAGACAGGAGCCTCGTGTGACACCACAAATCACTCTCCTGTCTTCAGTACCCCAGTGGATGATCGTCTCCAACAGTCGGTCCCGGGTAAATCCTTTTACTGCCACTCCACTGGCAGGCTAACACACCACAGTGTTCTTCCGGGGGGGGGGCGACTTCACAACAGCTGCAGCAAACTTCAAGGTATGGAGACTGGCTGCCTCGGGTAGACTGACTCAACCTTCAACACAGCGGTCCCAGGTCGACTCTGTAAACAGACACGTCATCAATGACTGGGACACACTAAAACACCTCACTTACGGGCTCGGGCACAAACACCTGACGTATCCAGTCCATAGATGGCGCTTTCGTCGGAGCACCACCTCACCAGAGGTCAGGAGCGGCTGTATTGTGAGCTGCACAGGACTGGAAACTGGCCCTTGTGGCTGGTTCACCTTGTCCTCACCAGGTGTCGTCGTCCGTTTGGCGGGGGTTTCGGGAGCTGACCCACAGATGGCGTGGTCGTTACTGCTCCGTGCTCGGACGCTGGATCCGGGTTTGTAACAGTCCCCTTGTGCGTGTGCCCCTTGTGTTAAATAGCCTGTCTTTATCTACCCTATCAATTCCCTTCAGAATCTTGAATGTGGTGATCATGTCCCCCCTAACTCTTCTGTCTTCCAGCGAAGTGAGGTTTAATTTCCGTAGTCTCATACCTCTCAGCTCAGGTACTAGTCTGGTAGCTAACCTTTGAACCTTTTCCAGTTTAGTCTTATCCTTGACTAGATATGGACTCCATGCTGGGGCTGCATACTCCAGGATTGGCCTGACATATGTGGTATACAAAGTTCTGAATGATTCTTTACACAAGTTTCTGAATGCCGTTCGTATGTTGGCCAGCCTGGCATATGCCGCTGATGTTATCCTCTTGATATGTGCTGCAGGAGACAGGTCCGGCGTGATATCAACCCCCAAGTTTTTTCTTTCTCTGTCTCCTGAAGAATTTCCTCACCCAGATGATACCTTGTATCTGGCCTCCTCCTCCCTACACCTATCTTCATTACATTACATTTGGTTGGGTTAAACTCTAACAACCATTTGTTCGATCATTCCTTCAGTTTGTCTAGATCTTGTTGAAGCCTCAAACAGTCTTCTTCTGTTTTAATCCTTCTCATAATTTTAGCATCGTCCGCAAACATTGAGAGAAATGAATCGATACCCTCCGGGAGATCATTATGTGTGTGTGTGTGTGTGTGTGTGTGTGTGTGTGTGTGTGTGTGTGTGTGTGTGTGTATGTGTGTAACCAAAGAGCCAAAGCTCAACCCCCGCAAGCACAAATAGGTAAGTATACACACACACACACACACACACATACACACAGAAGAGAAGACCCAGCGGTATGCCACCAGGCTCGTCCCAGAACTGAGAGGAATGAGCTACGAGGAAAGGCTAGGGGAGATGAACCTCACATCCCTGGAAAACAGAAGAGTAAGGGGAGACATGATAACCCCCTACAACATTCTCAGGGGAATTGACAGGGTGGACAAAGACAAACTCTTCAGCACTGGTGGGACACGAACAAGGGGACACAGGTGGAAA